GAGCTCCGAGCCAGCTCCCATGTCAGAGGATGAAGAGAGCACATCCAGTTAGTCACAGTCAGAGAAACAGGACTACACTGGAAAACAGGCCGATATTTCTCTCCAGGATGGAGTCACAGCAATGAGAGAGCAGAACGTTAGAGATTGAACTAATAGATCCTGCAGAGTGGGAGAATAGAGATAGAATGATGTAGAATGATGAAAAAGGGGTCCCTATGTCCTCCAGCAGTCTAAGCCTATAGCAGCAGAACTATAGAGATAGATGAGGAGTTTAAACAAGTGGATTTTTAAAGGGCAGTTTTCCACCGTAGGAATTACTTCCACTCTGTTTGTTGGATTTCTTTGCCTTTTAATATAAAAACAAACAAAAGGATTTAAATTCTAAGTTCAGATTGTTTTAGTGTTAGAGGCAGCAGAAGCAGAATAACTATAACATGCTTTCCCAGTTTTTTTCAACCTGAGAAAACTAAAGATGGACAAAAGCATGTGAACATGGAGCATAATGACGGCTGGTTCCTTTTATTTTCTAAACGTAACGCACTTTATCCTCGCCATCTTTTTCCATCCAAGCATCAGAGGTCAGGCTGTGGATGGCGTCTCCTCTCTGCTCCCACAAATCCTCCACAGCCTGCAGTGGAGATCAAACGGAACCATGTTTCCTGATGATTTAATTTCTGGGTGGATTCTTCAGGTTTTTATTACTTTTTCTTCCTCCAATCCCATAAAATGAATCATAAATGTTAAAAATGTATTAAAAACCAAACTATTAGGACTGGATAACTGATGGAGCGGGCAATCTCTAAGCACCTGTGCTGAATGGGATAATGAATGGAGGAATGCATGTACTGGTTCGTCTCTGCTCTGCAGTGTTGAAGCAACTGGAGGAACTGGGAAATGTTCAGAGCTATGAGAACAGAACATTATCACTCCCTGATTTGGACCTTTAGGGTCCAACATGTTGATGTTAGAAAACATCTTTTAGGTTGATCCATAAGCGATTTATGTCGTCATAAAAGGCGATGCATTAGTTCTGCAGCCTGGACCACACATGCAGTCTAATTTTTTCCGTTTGACACTGTATGAGTGTTGGTTCCGTGTCCTGTGTGTGTGGCTCCGGGCCCCCGACCCGCTCAGAGTCAGGCGGTGGATGAATCAATTGATCCGAAGCGCTCTGCGACTCCCTGTGAGTCAGAGACTTGGAGGGAGATTCCCTCTGAGCCTCTCTGACTCACCTGCTGCAGCTCCTCACAGGGAGACTCTGACGGCGCAGGAAAGTCTGACTCAGTGACAGGTTGGGGTCCGGGGCCCGCTGTGGGACGGGGTCCCGGCATGCATGAGGCCTCAGCGGCGCTAGGGGAGATTCCCTCTCAGCGCTGCATCACCTCCTGCTGCTGCTCCTTCATGTCTGCTAGTTTTGTTATGAGTTACATTCTCAGTGTTCATGTCAACAACACACAAAAACCCACACTTTGATAACCACATGTGAGAAAGGGAAGCTGTTGGGGGGTTCTGAGAATCGCCGCGGTAACACATCATGTGACTTGCTGGAAATCAAACTGAACTAAGCCTCATTTACATACCGACACCCCCAGCAGGGAGGAACTGCGTCTCTGTGTTTTTGTTTTTAACTCTTAGTTTCTGCTCAGTGTATTTTTATGCTTCTAAAAAAGGAAGAAGTGTCAAATGTAAATTTTTTTCTTTCCTTTTAGGGCCTGATTGTGCATCTTTTTAAAATGTCTTCCATCAGCTTTTAAAGCTGCAAAACTCAACAAACGGATGGCTGATTAATTCATAGATTCCTGCAGGAAACAAAGCAATAATTATTGCAAACCTTCCTGTCTTGGAGGGCCGAGGTGCTGAAACGTTTAGACGGGGCTCTGATGTAAAACTCGGGTTATTAGCAGGACATGTCTTCATGCTGAGGAGGTCATTCAGACACTGGGTTCAAGTGCAGACTGAAGGGTTTTATTCTGAAACACTGTTTTGTTTTCTGAATGAAAAGCATCTACATTCGTAAAGCTAAACTGATCCAACCTGAAGGTGCCATCAGTGTTGGGTTTTTCTTTTTTAGAGGATCTACAGATCTTCAATTTAGTTCAGTTTATTTCTATAGCTCCAACTTACAACACGTCATCTCAGGTCACTTTACCGTTCACCAGATCATCCAGTCAGATTGATTCAAAGTTTTCTATCAAAGGAAAACCAGCTGATTGCATCGACTCATTGACTCTTCAGCAATCCCTCACACTAAGCATGCTTCACTGGAAAAAATGTTAATCTAAATAAGTCACCTTTTCTTAAAACAAGTTAATTTTGTTGAATTGCAGAGGTAAGAGATATGCTTTTTTAAGTGCATATTATCCAATTATCTTTTTTAAGAATAAAAGTACTCATTCCATTGGAAGATCATCTTATTTACCTACTCAAATTCAGGGTAAATACACTTAATTTAAGAAATTTTGACTTATTTCAAGATCATTTTTGCAGTGTTGTAGCGACAGTGGAGAGGAAAAACTCCCTTTGAACAGGAAGAAACCTCCAGCAGAACCAGGCTCAGTGTGAGCG